AACCACAAATGTTGGAAATTTCTACAAGTGACTAAACCTCCTGCCCAGCTTTGGGCAATTTTTCGAGCAATCGTATCATACATGAAAATGGGATCTTCATCAAGTAATGTTGATGACACAAATATCATGGTACGACATTGTAGTTCAATTTCTGGGATGTTTGATGGAAGCACACATATATTGTATTCATCTACAATTATCATTTTTAATATACATTTATTAATAATAAGATTAAGAATACAGGACTGATAATTATCGAATTTGTTTTACATATAACTTGAAATAATTTAACAAATTTTGAAAATTTCGGATAGATTTAATATTACACTACTCAACAAAATTAAAACGTTACGTATTCCACCCTTCAAAAATAGGTAAATTTTGTGTAAAAATAACTTCATCAAAAATCATCGTATCATATTTTTAGTATTTAAAAAACATTTTAATGCTTGAAATCTTTACTTTTCAGACCTGTACTTTAAAGGACGGTGTTACTGAAATTTCGTGAAGTTACATAAACATAAATGCGTCAAACCTCTAAATTTTTTACGAAATTTAAGAAGTTCCACGGCATGAACTAACAATTGTGTAGAAGTGCAGTTCATATCTTTCGAAAGACAGAATCTTTACATTCAACTTGCTTTTTTGTGATCTTTACCACTGAGTTATTCAATGTTGAAGTAAAAATAATTTTTTTGCTTCAACACCGAATAACTCGTTAAAAAGAATATTGTACAACGATTACAAAAAAAATAAATCAAAGGTAAAATTTTAATCTTTCGATAGCTCTAAACTGCATTTTTACAGAATTTTTAATTCGCGCCACGCAACCTTACAAATTTCGTATAAAATCTTAAGATATGAGACATATTCATTTCTGTTGGTGTAACTTAATAAAACGTCGGTAAGACAGTTTGTTAAATAATTGTTCTGGAAGGATACAGATTTCAAGCTATAAAATGCTTTTTTTAACATCTCGATACAATAATTTTTGACGAAGTTGTTCTATCTCAAAGTTTGACCATTTTTGCAGGGTAAGGCAGATAATGCTTTAACTTTGTTGAGTAGTGCATTCATACAGTATTAACACCAACACGGTAAAAATTAGTGATCACTATACTAATATTAATATTAACATGGTGTAGATTTATATTCCTTGGTGTTGTATCAACACTGCTAGTGTCGAAGGTTATATCCACATCATGTTAGCATTAATAAAACAACATCTTACAATTAAATGTTACCTCTAATAAGCTTAACAATGTATAAAGTTGCTACATTAGACAGTATATTGTTGCTCTTTTGATGCTATACAACTTTTATAATTAAATTATTTTCATATTTCTAGAAATAGTAAAAATATTCCAGGTGAACAAAGTTCCTGTTCCATCCTGAACAGGCACTTTATTCACCTGGAATATTTTTATCACATAGATGCTCCATTAATAATTACCGATATTATTTTAAAAAATAACGAAACCTTGAAATAATAAATCTTTTTACAAAAATATAAAAAGATATATATTATTAAATACTAAAAACTTGTTAACCGACAATTGATATATATAATAAACAAACAAGGAGAAGAAAGCCAATAACGGAATTGGATTCGTTCTTCTTGTTGATGTTTATCAATTGCGGTCTTAAAAATATTCTAATATTTATTAATTATGAAGTCTGCTAAAATAAATTAAACTTGAATATTTCACGCCAAAATATTTTTTATTAAAAAAATAAGCAGTGTAGTTGATGTGAGACGAACACTGAATAAAGTAGAGACAATTATATTGACTTTTTTAGTTGTGCTAAATTGTACTACAACAATGTGCTAACAACTTTCTTTATGTCAAAATTTTCTGAGATCAACTGATTTCGTGAAATTAACGAAGTTATGCGTCAGCCGTTAGGAACGTTTAGAAATACAAAACTCAAAACCCATGTTTTGAGAAAGTGCGGGACCAACTTCAAACGTTAATCTCTAGTAGATGATTCATTCGCTTTGTGCGGAATAGTACACACACATGTATCCAATGGTTTTTATTAATATTTTGCATACGTGCGTGTGCAAAATCAATACAAATGATATCTACGTAATTTCTTACCATAGCAGTGTATGTAAATCTGACCTCCGGTGAATCTTGGCAGGGAAATATGCCTCTAGCATTTGTAAACTAAAAATCGAGTAATTAATACTGTACACAGTAATAGAATTTAATGTTCATTTATTGTACATTTATAGCTTACTTGATTGTTAGTTAATAGGAAGGGATGTGTGCCATCAGAAGTTTGATCACTTCTTAGCCAATACAGTGCAAGGGAATCTTTACGCGTTTTATACTCAATCCGAATTCTATAACTGCAAAATGTATGTATAGTATATTGTCATACATATAAAATATTTGTATCAATATTTTCTAAAATTTGTAATTTTTGAAAAAGATTTTATACTTACTTATACAGAAAATGAATCTTATTAACGGTATTGTTATATACATGTACCCTTTCATCATTTCTTAATGTCCGCGGTAACATAATAAGAAATGTGTTACTCCCAATATTATCAACATCTTTATTAATTTTATATACTAAAGCATTACCAGTGAAATAATCCTCGACAGATATCTTATCTTCCTGGAATCCGTAGGTATCTAAAAGCTAATTGTTCGATATTATGTATTTATTTCAAAAAATGGAGAAACTGTTCAAAAAAAGGAAAAGTTTACTAACTATTCTGTCACAATCAACTTTGGATTCTATGAACAAAACTGCCTTTCCGTGAATAACTGTTTCATTAAAATCGATGTTTAATTCTAAATCGGTATGAACTACTTTAGCAGTACCTAATAATTAAAAGATATTGGTAAAAAAAACTTTCAAAAATATTCAAATACTTATTATAGATATAATATACGTTAAACATAAAATATAGTATACGAAATATAATATAACGGTTTTAAAAACATAATATTGTACACAATTTTGTATTGTTTCTACGAAAGGTATTAAAAACGTTGTATTATTTAATATATATTATTGTGTATATAAGAAGATATAATACTGCAAGTCATACAATCAAATAATTAGAAAATATGTCTAAAATATGCATGACAGTTTTACATTTTATATATAAATGCTTAATATTTTATTCTCACAAAATTCCGTAATTAAAATACCTGGTTTTACACAAGAATATGGATCATTTGAAGTAAGCGGGTCCATATTTGATAGATATTGTAACCGTTCCACGTCAAAACTAAAAATAAATCTTTATTCTATTAAATTTCCGTAATAGGTATAATATAACACTCCTTCTCTTACCCTATCCTCTGTACTATAATGTCATTTTTTCATGTTTACATTTCTCTTTGTTTAGCAACATATTAGTTTGTTTATTATGTTATCGAGATTTCGCGCGAATCGGCTATGACTTAAAGCAATAGCATCATGGATCTTTTAATAGTTTTGAATGACATATTAAAATCTGAAAATAATTTTTAATTTCCATATTTAAAATTCAGTAATTCTTATGTATTGCGAAGAATATTACATAATTTTGGCGTTTCGTCCAGGTTTCCACTACTGGATTCATCAGTAAGGCATTGCAGTGGAAACCTTATATGTTATTCACAGGGTTGGGTAGTGCTAAATTAAAAAGTTAAAAGTTAAGTTAAAAATAAGTTAAAAAGTTAATTAATTTTAACTTAACTTAGTTACATTTTAGACTCCTAACTTTTTAACTTTATTTAGTTACATTTTATCAGTATCTAATTACTTTGTATTAATATTTTTAAAGTTAAGTGTCAGACCCAATACGAGCTACACGTAATCAAAGATACGAATTCCGGCCGGCTTGCAGCATGTGATCAGCGCCTTCGGTGGCACTGATCGCGTGTTGTAAGTATTATTAAGCGGGGAGCACAGACTTTTGCATAACGCATAAAGCATGTGCATAAGGAATTTCATTGGCCCATTTTCTTATGCATGAGTCAATGGACCAATCAAATTCTTTATGTATATGGTTTATGCGTTATGCAAAAGTCTGTGCTCCCCGCTCATGGTGGAAATATACAAGGTGAGTCGTTCCCGTGGATGCGCAGTAGCCTAAAAGTAGTGGGGAGCAGACAGCCAATCATAAATGACCCATTTGGCATAAATCCAATATGGCTGTGTTACTGGAGCATAGCGTATGTTATTACGACTCTAATTGTGTAGAGAAAAAAGAAGAAAATTATTGTGTAAGTAATAAACGAATTATATGAAGGTTTTGTTCAGAATATGTAATGTATATAATATAATATGCAATATAATAATAGAGGTTAGTAGATACAATATGTAATAAGTATATATTTTTCATATATAATATTGTGTACAATAATATAATATTGTTACAGTATGCAATATTAAAAATTCTCTATTTCGCAGGTTATCTTTGTGTTGACTCTATATTAAAATGCCAACGTTTTATTCTTTATAAAGTCAGATATGGAGATAACTCACGAAATGAAGAATTTTATTATTTTATTATTTTTATTATTATTTTATTATTTTTATTATTTGATTAATATATAGAGTCTTATTAAATATTCCTTCCTTTTATTATTATTATTATTATTATTATTTCAATTATAAAGGATTAGTTTGTAATATTTTTATATTTTAATAAATTTTATGAATATTTCGTTATTATTTTAACTTCTAATACTGTGTTCTTATTAATAATCTCCTGTAAATATTTAAATTCCGCGCGTGCACAATGGGTCATAAGTGATTGGCTGACTACATATGTCTCTTTGCCGCCATTATGCGCAACAACACACCTTGTATATTTCCACCATGAGTATTATCTGCCCGTACTGAGACTTGACACTGTGACAGTACCGTCCATACTACTCGCGCGTGATGGAAAATCAGATTTTCGTGTTCCGTTACTCCCGTTTCGATCGCAGGAACAGAAAGAGGATAAGGCAAATGTGCGATCATTAAGAACCGTGTGCGACGCTCGAAACTGTTTTCGTCGCAACCTTCGGTTGACACAGAGTAACATAACCAAAACGACTGAAAGAGGGTCTTTCAGGACTTCAAGTATCTTTGAACTTGTCAAGACAGAACAGTGGAAAAAAGTTAGAATCGTTTATAATTTTAAGAAGTTAGGGAGAATAATCTAAGAACAATCATTTATTCAGGTTCTAGAGTTCAAGTATCATATAATAGTATCAAGTAACATATACCTCAAAAAGAAGTTGGAGGAACAAAACCCACTGAAATCAGGATTAATTTCAGAAACTAACGCTAAAGATAATACATCATTTGATGTAAAGAAAAGAATAATAAGTAAAGAATGTAAAAGTGTGCAATTCTTTACAAAAAAGGACACATATAGAAAAATATCAATCTGTTTTGCTAAGAAAAATGATCACTCAATTAATCTTCTTCCTATTAAATAACAGTTATTATCTATAATAATGAATATTTTAAAACGTACAATAATTCTTAAATAACAAAATTCCTGTATAAATCAAACTTGGAAAGAAAAGGGCACTAGGAGTCAAGCGCAGACAACTTCACGCAACGCCGATATACATATATCAAGCAAGTTAGTTTTTAAAGAATATTGTCTTGATACTAATCTTAAAATAGACTTATTATAAAATATTAGAAAAACTCATTATTGTATACTCAAAACAGAAGAATTTTTTCTTTTGAAGAATATCGTAAAATTGATTAAAGAAACAAACTTTTCATAATGGTAAATCAAATTTGTTTTAATTTAATAAACTTTAAATTGATTAAAGTACTAATTTTATTAGGATTCAGAATATATTTTGAATAAATTTAATGCTTGTGATAAACTTATGATAAATTTACAGACATATGAACTGTTGATACACTTGAAATAAGTAATTATTACTCACATAAAGTAATCATTACTTGTATATGTTTCTGTTTGTAGAATCATAACATTCGTGAGAACATGGAGCTCGAAACGCTGCTGCGAAATCACGCTTCAGCAAAGGAATGTACGTATATACCTTTGTCTTTTAATAAAAGCAGCATTTCTTCTGAAATATGACATATGTATCTTTTAATAGTAAATTTGGTTATTCGCACTATAATGAATTAGCACACATTATAAGTTGCTTTATATGAAGAATTTAAATGCAGTGATGTACCGTAATAAACTTTAACAATGAAATAATATATGCATATTCCTAAATAACATGACAATAATAAGTGTTTTATCATTTGACTTAAAAAAAAAAAAAAATATATATATAGGTGGTAATATAAAGATTTGCAAATTGATTGTGTGATGAGGTGTTCAGAATAATCTAACTTTTTAATTTTATAGTTAGATTTTTTTATTTTATAATTAAACTTGCATAATATATAATCATATTGTATGTAATTTATGAGAGGAATGTAAAAATAATGTACTTTAACTCCTCTGAAAAAAAATTTTTATTTTCCTTTACAAAAATAAACCTTTGAACATTTTAAAGACAACTATCTGGAGATGTATGCTCACTTATCTACTTAAAGATTAAAATATTTACATGCTTTTATATTTAACTTTGTTAATTTTATGTATAGCAGCTTTTAGAATGTACTAATCTAGTGGAATGCCAAATAACCGCCATGAATAAAAAAAATACCTTGCTTATTTGTTTCACTGAATATAATAAGGCATAATGTTGCAGCTGACGAAAATTCTCAAGAGGATGAAAAGAAGGAAGACGAATACTTTCGGAAGATGTATCAACAGTGGAAGGGCGTGAAGACTAAGGACGATTCCACTTATAAAGTGATACCAAAATTCTATTTCAAGGTACAACTTATATTCTATAGACTTGAATTTTGATGGAGTATTAAAGTATTTCTATTATCTGCCATAATACTATTTTAGTTGCCAAAAGAGGATGAGATTCTACCACAGAAATTACGTGAGGAAACACGTGCTTTATTCTTACAAAGACGATCTCGACAGTTACTCGATAATCATGAATTGAAAGCACTCTGGGTTCTGTTGGACAAACATCACAGTCCACCTTTATCAGGGGACGAGCAGTTAATCAATTATGAGGACTTTAAAAAAGTAGGCAAACTGGCAGGAGCAAAGTGCAGCCCATATTTTACTGCAGTTGTCTTTGCCAAACTGCAGCAAGGAGACCTACATGGTAGAATTAGCATAATGGCATTATTCAATTACGTCATGCGAAAAGTTTGGTTACATCAAACAAGAATCGGACTATCTTTATATGACATTACGGGACAAGGTTATCTCAGAGAGTCGGTGAGTCTGTAATCTAAAATGTTTTATTTTGCAGCATATTATATTTTTATTTCAGATAAAAAGAAAGCTCTTTTATACAAAATTGTTACAAAAAAAAATCAACTCTTTATAGAAAGCAGATTTCTACAGCGAATGTTAAAATAATAAAATTACTAAATATTTCGTATCATCTTCAGCTGTAAAAATAATATTTAAAAAAAGAAATATTAATAATGCAGTATACATAAGATTACAAAAAGAGTGCTAACCGAAATTATCACAGATTGAAGCTTTAAACTTTTTTCTCAATAAAAAAAACAGCATTTATTTTTTAATTCTCTAAATATCCTAGATTGCAGAAATCTTTATAAGCGAAACACTTTTTTAACTTTCACTTACTTATTTGCAGGACTTAGAAAATTATATTTTAGAACTGATACCAACATTGCCACAGCTTGAAGGCCTGGAAAAGTCCTTCCACTCGTTTTACGTGTGCACAGCTGTCAGGAAATTCTTGTTCTTCTTAGACCCGCTTCGAACCGGAAGAGTTCGTATTCAGGATATTTTAGCGTGCAGCTTTTTGGACGATCTTCTAGAATTGAGAGACGAGGACTTGCCGAAAGACTTACAAGAAGCTAATTGGTTCTCCGCGCCTTCGGCCCTTAAAGTTTACGGACAGTATCTTAATCTGGACAGAGATCACAACGGAATGTTAAACAAAGAAGAACTCGCTGGGTAATAAATCTAAAAAATTTACGACTTTTGAATATCAAAACAATAGAATAACAAAGGCTAATGAGAGTATAATCGCTGTTAGTATTGCGAACTTATAAAAACATATATTTATTAACAATTAAAAAAATAATATATATTAAATTACTAAACTACTAATTAGTAGGAAATCCTACTTCTCCATGGCTTTTTCGCGAATGTACTACTGAGGATGGCTCGGATGTAAGCCGAAACGTTTAGTAATTTAATATATATTATTATTTTAATTGTTAATAAATATGTTTTTATAAGTTCGCAATACTAACAGCGATTATACTCTCATTAGCCTTTGTTATTCTATTGTTTTGAAATTTTCGAGAGTCGATTTTTATATTTAACTTTTGAATATTTTTAATTGTAATGATTTTTACTGATATAATGGTCTAAAATAGACCGAAATGTCTAGACACTGTTTATTTTGAATGAAGGACACTCGCTCATTATAACTAGCGCTGTATGCTCTTTGTTTTGTTTTGATTTTATATTCTAAGTCACATAACATATGTTATTTAATTTATGTCGTGTAATATTAATATATGTATATGATGACTCCTTGACGGCGCTGATGATCATAGATCTTTTGATCACCAGGTGGAGCCATTTTTTGGCTTATTAAACGCGAAAAAATCGCGTTTAGGCGCACGTAGGATTGAACTCGGGTCTACAGATCGCGAGTCAATCGCACCGAGCGGCGAACCACTCAACAATACAATATATGTATATATATGTTAAAAATATAATTGTTTTGTTAACAGATACGGCACTGGTACGCTAACCGGTGTATTTCTCGAACGAGTATTTCAAGAATGTCTTACTTATGAAGGCGAGATGGATTATAAGACGTATCTAGATTTCGTTTTAGCATTAGAGAATCGGCACGAACCGCAGAGTCTTCATTACCTCTTTCGCATTCTCGACATCAACAATCGCGGTTACTTGGATACTTTTTGTCTGAATTATTTTTTCAGGGTATGTATTACTGTAATACAAATTCCTTTTACTTTCTGAAATCACGAAGTATCACTTTATAGGCGATACAAGAACAGATGACGATGCATGGTCAAGAACCCGTTAGTTTCGAGGATGTCAAAGATGAGATTTTCGATATGGTGAAGCCGGCAGATCCGTGTAAAATTACGCTGCAGGACTTATTGTCTTGGTAAGGAGATCCCAAATGTATAATATTCACGGTGTGGAAATGCGATATATTGTAACTGAAATGTTCTGATTACAATAATTAATACAAATCGAAAGGGCGATGTAAGAGTCAAAAGTAAAATTTCATTTAAAAATAATATTACAATGTCAACATATTTAATTTTAGATTTGAAAAACAATAGAATATAAATATAAAAATTACTTAAAACTAAATATGTTTTCTTAAAAACTCCAACATTCACATAACATTTTGTATAGCGTTGCATTAATTTTTACAGAAACTTTGTTAACTTGCGAATTATCAAATTTTTCAACAACAATATTATATTAAAATCTAAATTACAACAATATTATATAAAATCTAAAATTAAATATGTTGACATTGTAATATCACTTTTAAATGAAATTTTACTTTTGACTCTTACATCGCCCTTTCGATTTGTATTAATTATTGTTATATTAAGAGTCCTTGAATATTTTCATCTTATTTGGTTCTGATTACACAAAAGTGGTCAGGGCGACACGATGGTCAGTATCTTGATCGAATTCCATGGCTTCTGGGCATACGAAAATCGTGAAGCTATGGCTGCTGACACCGGGGATGAGTCATCCCATGTATGACGAAGTACTTCTCATCCAAGAATACGAGATAAACGTGCCGAGACAGATAGTGCACAACTGGACATTAACACTTAATGTGTTTAACAAGCTATTGTGATGATATGCATTTTGTAGTAACAAAATTTTTATACTTTATTACATGCCAGAACGTGGCAATCACCGTCACATGTATGATATATTTTAGAATTAATATATTCTATATTTATTTTTAATATTAATTAATTAATTTTACTCTCAAATGCCTAGACTGATTTAGACGATCGCGTCATGTCGTACTTCTTATTTGATTACCTATTTGATAACACATCCTCTGTTCCCTTCACAATAATTAATAATTCAAACTCAATAAAATGTAATTTTCTTACGGACTCTCTTCTTTAAAAAAAAAAACGAACGTATAAGTGTTCCCAAGAACAGGCAAATGAGAGTCAACTCGGTTAGTGTTGAATTATAATCCGTTTATTGGTAAATTAAAAATTATTCATGAACGTTTCGATTCTTCTTTGGAGTCATCCTCAGCATACACAATATAAAAATTTCTCCTTATGTGATCGAGGGAATGTCGCCATCAAATTAACAGATTTGATGTACAATCTAAATTAATGTGTTAATGAAAATATTATTCATTATTGATTCAATTCAATCTTAAAGAAAAGAAAGAAAAAACAGACAGTGACTCACCCAAAACACATAAGAAAAAGATAAAAAAAACATGTTGAAGCTCTGGATCACAATTCATCTAATGTATAATTCAATCATTTCATGATAAACTTATGTTTCAAATTCAAAATTTGTACCGTATGAGAGAAACTTCTGTGGACCAATCACGTGGCATGATTTTAAATCGCGGGGTTCGCAGAGTCAGTGGAACCGCACAGTTGCATCAGTAGCGTACTATTAAATACGATTGAAGTATTCTACTTAAAGAGTCCAAGCTTAAGAATCGGAGAATAAGAATAAATTAACGTTTTTCTTTTTCTATATAAAGAAAAAAAGTTCAGAGCTTTATTCTTTGAAATATATGCATCCTTCACGTGCTTTTCCTCAATTTATTTTAATCCCTGTAAAAAGTTTGGAGCATAAAACATATATGATATAACTTCGACGTTTTATTATTTCGACAAAAAGATTACTCCTTTACTTTTTATAATATAACGCTCCAATGTTTATCAAGGAGCGTCGTGTTTTTTTTTTCTAGAGAAATAAGTTTTTATAAATTTCCTTGTTAACCGACTGAACGTTTACACAGAAGTGTGTAACTCCTACTTAAATTTCTATGTTTAAATTCTCGCTTTTATACGAAAAGAAGGTGGACCGCGTGGAACGTTTTAATTACTCTTTGTTGACGGGCGGGGCGAAATACGTGGCTACCTACGTTACTGCGACGCAGCGTCTATCGCGTCTGTCTTCACATTGTTCACCGTAGTACATACAGTACGGAGCTTGGGTTCAGCTCCGGTTTCGACATTCGTAATTCGATCTCGCACGGAACGCAATAAGGTTTGTTATCGTAACTCCAGCTCTTGGAGGACGTCTCTCGATAATCATTTTATCATAATATTCAGTCCAGTTCAGTCCCTCCGCACCTCTCCGCGGGTGGTCCACACCTCCTGCGAAGTGTATACATCCTCCTTCGCGAATCTTTTATCTCGTTTGATAGTGAAGCGTAAATAACGCACGCCGGCCAAACGGACAATATATGAATTACCGCAAGAAAAAGGACCGAGAATGAGAAAGGAAGGGAAAAAAAAAAAGCAGGGTGTGCGTTACACGCTTTGCGAAGTGAAAGGCCGCGCGTTTGGCGCGCATTTTTCGATACGCACGGTTTTAACGCGTTCGCGTGGATATCAGCCGCGAGAGATCGAGGTGGGGGTGGGGGTGGGGGGGAATCAGCGAGTAAACTGTCATTCCGCCCCCCCCCTCCGCGACCCTCCCTCCCCCCCCCTCTCGGCCGCACGCTTCCTCTTTCGCCCCTGCCAGCCGAGAGCTCCCCACTCCTCGTAGTCTCTCCGTCAGTATGGCGCTCGTGTTTAAATTCAACGGTTGGAAATAAAGGATACTCCCTGGTTGCGTTGCAGGAGCGCAAGGGTCGTTCTTCCGTTCAATTCTGATTCATTCGTTCGGTGTCCTTCTAAGGGGAAGTGTCGTCCTCTCCATCACGTCGGCGGTGGCGATTTCGCAACGGAATTTCGAGCGAGAATCGAGCCAAGCTTCGAGCACGTAGCACACCCCAGGCACAATGGAACCCTTCGTCCAGGTAAGGCTCCTGCCTTTTCGTTTTTGCCTTCTCGCTAAGATAGACGCCTCAACGATACGAGGAATATTGGCACGTACCGTGACGTAGTTACGTGATTCACGGACTGTATTTCACGATTGTGTTATACCTACGTATAAATTCTCTTTCATTGCTCGTTATTTTTTTTTAAATGAAAATCGTTATGTATTACTTTTGAGACAGAGATTAATTACTGACATTACTATTGTTATTATAAATGTTCTGCAATATTTGTGGAACGCCATTATGATAGAATTGCTTATTCTAATGTAAATCATGACACAAATGGTATTTATAATGTAAGTCATCATTTTTTATTATAATCTAACGTATACATTGACATTGACAAATAGCGTATGTTGGAACGCGCTAAAGCCAGGAGAGAGAAACTGGATGAAAAGTTATCAAATGCGGGACACAATGTTAAAAAAAGGCAGAGTCCTTTGAAAAATACATTGTTAGAACAGGCCACAGGTAATATTTTCAGGACTTATTTTATAAACATTTATGAAATTTTAATAGTCACAGTTAAAAATGTATTTGAAATAAATTAAGGTAAAATCTATAACTGTTAGCTTCTTGTTTGTTGAAATATCTTATTTATAGCAATAGCAGAAGAAAATTCAGCCAGATCACCAATCAAAGCAGTTTCAGTTAGTGCACTTTCATTTATCAAATCACCTCATAAATCTCCTATATCCAAGAATACCGGACCTGAAAATAATGAACAGGATAATAAGGAGAATAGTGACTTTCAAGTTCATAATATGCGATCCAAGTTACATAGACTTGGGAAATTATATTCTGGTAAATAATATATTTTAAAAAATTAAAATCCTAACTCTGAACTAAAATCCTAACTCTTTTGGATGAATAGTACACTAAGGGTGCGGTCGAGTTGCCACTACGAATGCTTCGAAGCGTTTGATTAACCAATCAGAAGAAAGAATTTTACAAATTAACCAATCAAGAAACGCTTCGAAGTATTCGTAGTGGCAACTCGACCGCACCTTAAGTTTAAATGTTATTTTGAATCTCTCAGTTCAGTTACTCTCACACAATTCATATGGAGCACTCCCACACAACTGCTTCAAAACTTGTTTCTGACACTGATACACGAGTATGTTGGTGTCTGAATATACACAGCATGTTTATACATACACATGATTATACTTTTTTATTCTATGATTGAAATTTTTTTTTGAAGAATTATATTACAATTTATATTAAAAAATTTTATTATATTACATTTTTTATGTGTGCGTCTCTAAAATATAATATTATTCATTCTTTAAATAATTTTTTTTTAAGAATTTATTGATGTTTATATAGATTAATATTTATATATTGATGTTTGTATGAATAAATTAGTTATTTTTAAAATAAATTAATAGAAGGCTCAACAAGTATAAAACAAATAAGTTGAAAATAAGAGAAAAGAGCCAAATATTTGGCTCTTTTCTCTTATTTTCAACTTATTTAGTTATTTTTAATATTTATATTCATAGGAAACAACAAAAATTAATATAATTTTCTTCGACAGATGATAATCAGGAATTAAGTTCACCTATACATCAAAATGAAGAAAAATTCACTGCAGAAGAAAGTAGGGAGGAATATAAACCAGTTAAAAGAGGCGCTAGACTTGATAGATTTGCAGCTTTAGCGTCAACTATTAACAATTGGGAGGATGATTTGTCTCATCCGGTATTAACTAGTTCCAAGGTATTTTGTAACACTTGGCTTACAGGTTTTATATTCGAATAAAATAATATATTAAGTAATCTCTGCATATCTTGCATTGTAACGCGCGCGCGTATAAATTATTTTATAGATTAAACCTGGAAATAGTAAAGCAAAACAAATACAAGCAAAGTTTAACGAACAAGTTAAAAGTGGATTTGAGTCACAACCAAGCACAAGTGAGAGTAATAAATGGAAGAGCAAAGATTCAAGTCCAACCAAACAATTAAAATGGGATAAAAATGTGTTAGAAAACTTGGTAAAATATATTATAAATTTACTCTTAAAAATGAAAGACTAAAGCTTCGTAAAAAATGTTTATATTTACATACAGGGTGTCAGTGACCACGACATCAGCGATGTCGTAAGCAGGTAGAGCGGACTGAACTGAATCGAAAAGTCTTCTACCATTTTACAGTTGCAATAATAGATAACGAGATATTAATTTTTAAAGATAGCCAAACAAACGTATTTGCCCGGCCTCCTATTGTCAAGTGAACACGCCTTCAAACGCGTTTATTTGACTACCTTTAAAGCCCGATCTACAATTGCGAAAACGTAGTTGTAGTTGTAAGAATTGACTAATCACAGTTGAATACGAGGAGAATATTCGACTGTCATTGGTCAATTCTTATAACTACAACCACTTACAACTACGATTATGCAATTATAGATCGGGCTTAAGGGGATCCTGGATTACCGCCTGTATTACCGATAAAAGTAGCGTTTTTGACGTTTCCGTTCCTGTTTAATTTTTTCATAATAGTTTCGAAAAATAAAAATTCCTTTGCCATGATTTAAATATTCATGCTAATGTATCTGTTCCTGGTCTATATTGTGTCCAAAGCTGGAAAAAGTATGAAATCATAGATTTTTTTAACTATTTAATCTCAGTATGGCAACCAATGCTGAAGATAAAAATGGATAAAGAAATCTGTAATTTCATAATTCTTCTAGCTTTGGACACAATATAGATCAGGAGTACATTAGCATAAATATTTAAATCGTCGAAAATGAATTTTTATTCTGCGAAATTATTATGAAGAAATTAGACGGGAACGAAAACGTCAAAAATGCTAGTTTTATCGATAATACAGGCGGGTCCAGCATTGCCTTAAAAATTAATATCTTGTTAACTATTATTGAAACTGCAAAATGGTAGAAGACTTTTCGATTTAGTTCAGTTCGCTCTACCTGCTTATGATTGCTGATGTCGTAGGTCGCTGACACCCTGTATAAGTCTATATTTGTATTAAATGTATAAAGTTAGATTCTTATTGTTATATTTTTGTTCTCTGCTGTTTTTATGTCTTTGAAAGAAGAGAAGTAACGATTGAACGATTAGATTTGGATAGTTAAAAATATTTACAGGAGGCTCAAGGCTTTAGTCGTACCAAAAGCAATTCTCGTCTTGTGTATGACTATAAGCATTGTTCCCAGGAATCAAACGCTGTCACAAGTCGTTTTTCACCTAAAAAGAGCTCTGCTTACCAGCAAATGGAGAAGAAGCAGATTTTGCCTATTAAGTCAGATGGTTCACCAAGAAGCAAGAAAACAGAAAGTGATGCTAACGGGACCGCAAGTCCAGCTAACTCTTCTAGAAGCAACGATAGTAAAGTTTCTAATACCCCTGAAAATATTAAAAGCGCGAATACTACTAGCAGTTCTCGATTACCGTCGAGGACAGTATTTAGCGGATCTCCAAAGACTTTGGTCCAACCATCAGGTTCGGTGTTGAGTAAAGCATCGATGTTTGAAGCTAAAAGCACAGAAACGAAGGTGAAAGATCCTGCGCAAATGTCACTTGCCGAAAGGATGGCATTTTTCGAACGAAATAAGGGAGAAGCATTGATACCTAAAGCACCACTTACAATGTCGATACCGCCTAAAAAGTTACAGGAAAGAGACAAGCAAGGATTTAATGCGGGTATATATAGTTTTTAATTGTAAAAATATTTTCCTCATTTATGTAAATTAGAATATCTAATAATAATGATAATGATCATGATGATGATGATGATGATAATTGTAATAATAACAATAATAATAATAATATTTTACTCTTTAGATTCGTCTCCAATTAACAATCGAAACACGGATATTCCGAGTAGAACGGTTTTTGAACAACGTGCGATGTTTGAACAAGGCAACAATAGAAACAAAGTAGAAGAAATGGAAAATCGCATTTTACAAGCTACTTATACTGAGAGACAGCGTGAATTAGGCATGTTACGTTCGCGGTTTAATGCCAATAAAGAGGTCGCTCGTGCCGCTGCTGGATCTTGCGTTCGAACGAGTGAAAGTAGCGAAGGAAATGGCAAATCATCGTCGCCAAAAAGTTCGCCCGTTTGTCCAGTGAAGCCGACTCCTGCTCCGGTAAAATTAAGTTATTTTTATATGCATAAAAGAACAGCACAAAGTTCTTATTATGTGATACAATTGTATATTTTATTTATTAAATGTAGGATCATATTGTTCATCCGCCACCGCCGCCACCACCATTACCAGAAATTGTATCATATCACACTAAATCTTCTCCAGCAAAAAGACAAGGTACATAAAAAGAATATTTTTCTTTCATTATGTTTTTTTCTCTGTTGTAACACTTGTAATTATGAGTCGTTCTTTTTCAGTTGTTGGAAGCCCACCGAAAGTTCAACATTTACGTGCGACATCCGATATTAAACGTATCCGTGTGTGTCCACCAAAACCAGGATCTCTTTATCCTAATCTGTCGGAGATTGAAACTACAGAAAGCGAGAGTGATACGGAATACACTGTGGACAGTAGCGAACCTGTAACAGCTACTTTTGACGAGAAAACAGAAACGGAAACCGACACAGTCTCTGAAGCTGATTATTATATTCGAGTAATATAAATAAATAATAAACATTAAAAGCTTTATATACATTTAATACATCACAAAGCAAAAATCATTTTGCATATAATATGTGCAATAAGAAATATTTTATGCATTTTTCAATTTTTTATAGCATGATGAAACTGACCAAGAAACTGAAAGTGATAAGGAAAGCGTAACAAATACATCTTTTGGGCGTACGAGTTTTGGACGCAGCATTTTGCACGCGTACGATGAACATGCTTCGTTGTTTAACAAAAAAGTATGCAAAGGCTTAATGCAGTTTATAGATTATTAAAAAAATACACATCAGATATATTTATGTGGTTTTTAATGTTACAATTACAGAGATGTATAGAACCGGATCCAGATAGCATTACATCAGACGACATTTCAGTACTCGATGAAATGGATCAATATTTGGATTGTCTTGATGAAGAATTAAATAATGACATGAAAGGGGAAGGTCCTACACCTCCTAAAGTAAATAAAGGCGGCGAAAGTCTGTCGATGAGGTGTCATAATTCCAAGTACAGTTATTCATACATTTCAGTTTTTATCGAAAACATATTTTTTCATTTTTATTTATTTTCTACAAACTGTTTAAATAAAACTATTCGTAATTTCACAGATATCGTTCGCCTTTGAAAGATTCGGATAAATTAGAGAATGGTGACAAACGTGTACCATTATTACGCACTGTTAGTGCTTATAGACGACAACAGGTTCCAGTAAGTTGTTTAATATCATAATTGATGTAGAAAAAGTATTGTAATAACATGATTACTAATAAATTTTAGGTTAAAATTAATTCAGCTGCAAGACACGAAACAGGTTCAAATTCAATTTCTGGTACAGAGAAGCGCGAAGATGAAGTCACATTGGTGCAAATGAAAGTAAAAAAGTTATTAGACGAAGTTGTTGTAACGCAACAGAAGAAAATAGAAGAAGCTAGCAAAGCGTTGAACTTGTGTCATTCTACCGTTGAATTTAACGGCTCTAGTGAGCACGTCGGAGGCGAATGGGCTCTGCTCGTTGCTAGTAAATTTTGATTTTTATATAAGTTATATGTAATGTAGATATTGATGATAAAACTGATAATATTCAGTTTTATTATTAATATCTACTATATAATATATAAAACTTATATTTTAGTATTAATATTATATATTAATATTAATACATATGAAATTTAAATGTGGCTACTAAATGTGAAAAATGTTTATTTCTTACTTAGCTCACAAACGCCAAGCTGCACTGAATGAAGTGCAAAGATTAGAACGAGAAGGCACTCTGAGACCGGTCAAGGCAGGCTCACCAGAAGTGCAGGGTAGTGGTTCATTAACTATTTCTGCCATTACGTTACCGCTCAAGCAAGAATATTTCCGAAATATGGGCATGAGTAAGTAATTATAATATAATCATCTCAAGTTGTACGTTATTTTTTTTTAGACATAAAACAGAACTATTGAAATCGTCATATTAAATATAACAATCTTGTAATTTGTTCCAGATACATATCTTCATTGTGTCTGCTTGATGTATTATTTAGGGGAAGTTTTCGCTACCCAACCAGCGACTGCTGAACCAGGCGATTCATGTATCTGTTTTACTTCAATGTTGAAACTTGATAATTTGCACAGTGATTTCAAGATTCTTGTTGAAGTGTATACCTTCCAGACGCACCCAAAATATTTGCCGCATGAAAAGAAATATCATATCAATCATACTGCAAAAGTAAGAAAGCCTTCCTTGCTTCTCTCTCTCTCTCCCTCCCCCCCCCTCTCTCTCTCTCTCTCTCTCTAATAAAATATTTTAATATTAAATCTTATAGGACCGTACATGTAAGAAACACAACCAATAAGAAATTGCCTTTAACGGTCGAGCTGGATCTTGCTATTATAATTTCGTGTGAATTTATATGCTACGTATGTAGTCTTTTTAAACTACGCCGAACAATCGTGAGTCTTGAAACGCAACTCTAATAAACTACCAAATCAAATTAATAATTAATTGATGCTCTTTTGGCATTTTATATTGATGTTAAACTATATTAAAATCTGAATACTAAATCTGGAAAATTCTTCTTATTGCGGAAAATATTACCTCGGCCGGGAGTCGAACCCGAATACCTTGCTTTACGCGCAAGTGTCCTAACAATTAGACTACAGAGGCCACTTGCGCGTAAAGTAAGGTGTCCGGGTTCAACTCCCGGTCGAGATAATATTTTTTGCAATAAGAATTAATTATTTACAGATTTTAATTTATCACTCGACTATTAAGTCTGATTTGAGATGCGTAAAGAGCATCAAAAAATGTTAAATTGTTAGAACAATTTAACTCGTGATATTATTGCGGTAATGTCGTAGAGTTTCAAGAAAAATTGTTCGGCGCACAGTTTAAAAAGACTACATACGTAGTATATAAGTTCCCACAGAAATATAATAGCACCCAAGATCTAGCTCGCGTTAAAGGCAATTTCTAATAAAATATGTTATAAATATACAAGAACGGTTTGATTTAATGTTGAATCCATTTGCAGGCGGTCAATAAGACACCAAAGAAAAAGAATCAGTTTATAGTGCCAGACATACAGAGTCCAGCAGGTCCAAATGCAATCAGATCACCGGCTTTCGAATTATCTGGAACTACGACCCTTACACTCGATGACATAAATTGCGAGCAATTTTCTTTGCTCAGAGTATGTATATTGATTCTTTAGTATAAATCAGGATTTGTAATGTCAGTATGTATATAATCTTTGCATACTTAAGGTGCACTTTCTTAATGTGTTCAGATCTCGTCACATTCTCCACTAGAAGGACACCTGCGAATGCGTATATCGCGTAAACTCTCGATATCAGTGGAATATCGTGGATTTTTGACGCTGTTCGAGGATATTACAAATTTGGGTGCTTGGCGTCGAAGATGGTGCTGGCTTAAAGACGCTAAGCTTTATTATTGGGTGTATCCTGAGGACGAACACAAGAAAAGTCCAATAGGGCAACTTGACTTGGAGGGTAACTTTTGAACTTTTAAACCGAATGAGACAATTTTGAACTTTTGACTAATATAATGGGCGAGTTTTTTTTAATTCATCGATTGATTAATCGCATTGTACGTAAACGTAATTCTGTACCGTAAAAAAGCTGCATTTGCGTATAATGCGATTGATCAATCTATGAATTAAAAAACTTGCGCAATTTATACATATTACATATATCTATATTGATTATTATTGATTTAATTTCTGTGATATGGTAGGTGTTATTACAAAACACGTACAATTTACAAATCGAGAAAAATGTGCTCGTCCTTTCACATTTCTACTCGAGATATCTAGACCTGTACAACCTGGAGATACTAATAATCTCATCATGAAGACAGATGGAAGGGAAACCATAATTGAGTATGTATATTTATCTTTCGTTTCTTTCGTAATACATAACGTGTTCTTGAGCTAGAATACAATTTTTCTTAATCCTGTATTCACAGGTACTTTTTGTTAGCTGATACGAAAGAAGAAGGATTACAATGGATGTCGAAATTGAATAAAACTCTAAGCTTAATTAGAGCTTGGGGATCATGAAGAAATTCAGTTTATGCTTAAATCCAGATTAAATTTATTAATTTCAAACAACGTATTCATGTACGTTTAAATCAATTTGTGATAGGAGGTATGCGTATGCATTCATATGTCGTGCATCGCTCATCAGAATATAGAATAACAGAGAGATACTTGATTTATAATACTTTACAAAGAAAGGAAAAATCTGTCTCGCTTTACGAAGATATATATTACACTTGCATCTCATCGATGCATAAAATAACGGAAATACTTGTAAGGAAATACAAAATGCTTTGATAAATGTGTATATATATATAAACAATGCAAGTATTCATATATAAGAAAGTAGCGAATATATATTACGTTTGGCGGCTTTCAAATTTTTATATTATTTGTGTTACAAATAATTGTTTTAATATAAATATTCGAATGAATTAGTTTGATTTTTAATCGTGGACACGTAAACTATACAATGTTTCATTAAACTTTAGTAGCCGTTTCATCAAAAATTAGAATTCCGAGAGAAGCAAGCTTTCACGAAGTCTAAGTACCCGCTCAATACTTAAACTGAAACATTTAATATATATGTATATATACATGAGTGTATGTATTAAATTTTCAGTGCATTTTCTCGTATCTTCTGAAACTGCGAAAAATCTATTTACATTCGAAAAGAAAAAGATCATTTGTTGTACTTTCAGCTATTTATTGTAATCGTATTTCAGTGTTGTTCTGTCGTATAGTTGCATAATTATACCAATATGACGTTTAATCAGGATTAACTTCTTGAATACTTGATTACGTATGTTTACCAAATAGCTACATAAATTTCAATGTTCGACATTATTTCAATGTAAAACACATAAAAGAAATTGTACATAGGTTAATCGTAGGAAATTAATATTTACTGATGTGTAATTAAGAGATATTTATGTATGTAAAATTACGAGTTCGTATATTAATATTAGTAATATTGATGCTAATAATTATTATTACATTAAAGTTGATGCGATGATTATTTTTTAATGTAAGTATGAACACGCACAAATAATATTTTCCATCTTTTTGTAACGAATTAAATGTATTTTTTGTAGCGTAAAAGCCTGTTCTTGTTCTCATCCTAAAATTCACTGTAAACGATCTATACTTTGCATTGAATTTCTGAGTAGAATTCGTACGTTTAATAAAATACATGATACAAAAAGTCATCAATGTAAATTGCTATCTTGAAATTTGGATGCGAACTGTAGATTGGTTTAAAGGCTTTATTAGTTATAATATATAGAAAGCACGCGACATGGTAAACAATCACAGGAAGGTTTCAGTATACAAGTTTATTTGAACGAATTGTTTTCTGTTATAGATATACATATAGATATGTGTATAAAAAAAAAAAGAAGAGGTTGCGCCAGAGAGAAACCGCAGATATCACGGTGCCTCAATGAGTGCTGCATTGTCGCCTCGCTAGGAAGATAGAATTGCAAACAGAGGACGTCTCTCGTTCAAAACGTTTACTAGCAGTTTCGAAAAACTGAATGATATACATACATATTGTCGGTTGCAAGTAAGCACGTGTTTCACTCGTGGAAGACTTGAATACGTTTCGTAAGTCGTGATGTTGTACGATGTTCGTGAATACTTTTTTTTACGTTAATCGCATAAGAGAAGAGAAAAAGAAATATTGACCGAAGCGTTGATTCTACTCGTTAATTTTTTTATCTATACTATTCGCGTATGCGCTGCACTGGCTCAAAGAATTATTCTTGGATTTGGAGCGAAGACAATGCAAAAGTATTATTAATAAATTGGCCCAATTGCGTGACCATTGGTTAATTTTGAGAAATGCATCACGAAAGTCACGAAAACGAATCGGGGGGGGCCAGAAAAGAACAATCGCGCGGCAGATCAATCGTTCTCTCTTTAGCGACTGACATCAATTTATTGCCATACGCGTCGGCGTGAATCGCGTGCCTTGCAGTGTCATACGATTAGAAATATCCTAATTCGTGTGTAATCACACGAGCGTGTACGTCGACGACCTAAGGTGATGTAACTTCAGTCCTCGAGTCCGCTTACTTTGCGACGAGATTGATAGTCGGATGGAATCCGTTTTCATCTGCGGTGTAATCAACCCTGCAATTACAGAGAGGGTGTTCAAAGAGCCACAACGTTTTCGAACGACGCGAACATTCAATGTGAAGACATTACTTTCGAATTTGTAATCATCTTTGCAATCCTGAAGGCCACTTTAGACCTTTAGACGATCCGTAATTCGTGTCATCGGTTCAGGATAGAATTCAATTTGTAATTCTATGTGCCGTGCAATATATGAAAGACACTTGATGAAATCGTAACATATATATGTATACACATCGAGATAAACGTGACAGAAAATTGTAAGGATGTGAGATGCCAATTTGAATTACACAAATTATTTAAGTTTTTAATAATTAAATATTGAATTTTTGTGGATTCTCTACAATGATTCAAGTGTATGTATAGAATTATGTATATAAAATAAATCTTGACAAAGATTAAAAACCAATAAACCTCCCAGGTCAAGACAAATTGAGCTATACTGGTTGTTAGTTCTAAGGAGGTTTATTTTTTAATTTTTGAAAGAATTCAGCTTTAGAAGAATCAGAATATACACTGGTACACATGAAAGAAGAATATAAATTACAAATAGAATCCTATCCAATTATAGGTCGTCTAAGGGTGTAATAATTTCACGTACCTATACGTGTGTCCGTCCGGCGCGATGAAACTGAAGCTACCCACGACGCTGAGGGACTCATTTTCGGTGCCCTCGTTCTTCAGCTCCGCCGTCTCTTCCCTCTTCTGACCGTCGCTCTGCTCGTAACTGAAGTGATACCCACCTACCCCTATGTTGTTCACCTCCTCCTGCTTCACGATCGTGATATCGTTCGGATTGGATTGCGGTGCCGCGAGAACGCCGGCTATGAGCGCCAGAATGACGAACACCTGCGTGACGAAGAGAAGCAAGAAAATCATTTCGTTGAACAAGACAAGGGATGAGATCGTCCTTCTTTATCGCGTTGACTTCTGTTAAATTAATCGGACGTCTTTTATTTTGACCACGCATTATTTGAATTTGTTTTGTCGCAAGATATCTTTTGTAGTATTAGAAAATAGCAGTTTATAAATTACTTGTTTTGAGTATTCAAAAGCTATTGTTCAATATACATATATCTAAAGAAATCCAATTTAATGCTGGCCGATAGAAATTATTTATTTTGAACGATTGTTCAGTTTAATATAGTTCAAAATAAATAATTTTTAGTCTCTTAAATTGGATTTCTTTAGGTATAATTAATGTCAGGGTAAACATTTTGTTTAAATGAATTATTGGTAATAGATGCGAGGAATATGCGACAACTGTGTTGAAAATTCTGTCTTCTTCTTGGAACCTGACCTTTCGACGACCAGTATTAGATTATTACGAAATTAAATCGAGATATATGATATTATTTGCACAGCGAACGAAGAGAACAACGGTTTTAACTTCTTCCGATACACACAAAGTGTCGCAGATTAATAATTTCGATTGTCTATAGAAAAATAATCACTCATCAAATGATCAATAATTCCGATCACGTAGAAGCGATTGCTTATTGAATGGTTGAATCATCCTGAGTTTTGTCTTCGAATCATAAAATATCATGTAATATCATAAAATGAAAGTTTTTCGCAAACTAGGTGGAATAAGAGTAAACATAAATTCCGCAGACCACTGAAACTTGACCCGAAATTTTAGGATCTCAATTTGAGATCTGTTTAATTATAAGTATTTTAAAAGTTTGCCGAAATATCTCATTCAGATTCTCCTGAAAAGAAACAAAAGATATAGAAGTGTACTCCAAATTGATCATCGAAATATGTAGACGTTCTCCCGGCGGCGAACGGAGTGTGTAATTTCACGCGCGCACAAATGTCACAAAATCCTCTTCACTTTCACTGTTGCGCAAAAATCGGGCGGCCGCGTCCGTGTCGGAGGACCCAGCTTGGAAAAAAATCTGCGGTAACCCTCTCACGATTCGGTCTCTCTTGCCGTCCCTCCCCGAAGGACCTAAAGAAGAGGCCCACGATCGCTCTTCTTTTAACGAATCTCGACGTATCTCGAATATGTATCATATATATCTATCTTTCTTCTAGGATCCACCACCCACCGTCTTCATCGCGCCGCAGGTTTTTCTTCCGTGGTCGAGCGATCCCGAAAATCGAGCGGCCCTTCGTCCTTAAACGACGACTGATATACGTGGATAACCGGGGATCCTTTGGTGCATCTGCCTTTATATAAGCAGAAAATCCCAGCGCCGTGTTGCACATCCCCCCACCTGTTGTGTGCAACTAGCAGCAGCAACAGCCCCCAATGGATTCGCGGATGAGTCTCCCGCGAATGCAGGATGCATCTCTGTGTGATTTGATGACGCGGTCGCCGTTAGACGCGGTGCCCGTTTTGCTGGCTGTATCTTGCTTGCCACCATCGCGAACGCACGTCATGGTTTGCTCCTGAATTTTTTAATCTCATCCCAGTATCTGAGAATGGATTGAAATGTATTCAGATTTTCAGAAATACGGATTCATGAATGTTAAAATGAATCCATTTCAATCCGAATACATTTTTATTCATTTATAGGAATTGCATGGAGCATAATATCTGTATACCTTTCAATCTAAAAATAATATTAGCTTTTTCAGTGCGTTTGTGACCATAGTGAATACTGTACAATTCGAAATTTTGAATAGGAAACGCAGTTTTTCAATCCAGGTGCATCCAATTGAGTCCAAAAAAAAGTCTTCGCTGTTTAAAATACGAATTCGAATAGACAAAATGTCCAATCCATTTTAATCCATTCTCGGATGCTGGGTGCATTTAAATTGAAAGACCTTTATGAGAGACTTCACTGCGAAGAGATCCTGGAATTTGAAAAAAAATCATATTTTCAAAATTAGGATCTTGGAATAACATTCTTTCAAAAGTGAGTGATTGTTTTTCTTATCTCAACAGGTTCTTCGTGTAACTCGTCAATTATTTATTTATTCTATTATAAATTTATCAGGAATTAATATATTATGTTGGAACGATCTTCTATAAATTATATACAAGATATTACTATACATACATATTGTACACTTTAGATAGGAATGCAATCAAAAAGCCCTTTATTGAAATTTTACATTATTTTTATAATTGTATAGTTATATAAAATTTAACGAATTATACTAACGTGTGACCATCTGCACAGTTAGGACATATAGTGTGTGATCGTAGTAATTTCGGATGTCTTAAGAGGAAATTGGTTTCATCTGTTAAGGGGTTTTTTACGGCTGATGAGGACTCTGTGAAGTCGAAACGTACCGTATATTAGTGTTATCATTATAATAAATTTATAGATATATTTAACAACTATTATTGCTCAATTTATTCTTGACCTGGGAGGTTTATTGTTAATTTTAATTTGTTAATTTATTTGAGCTGTGTAATTCAATTTCAATTTTTAACGAATTATAATTATTGTACATATATACAAAGTAGATTCATTAAATTACACTTAATTACAAAATTCTACAGTGAAAAGTAAAGTAGCTTTCGGTAGTTTCTACTTTTTGTAAATTCGCGATATATCTCTACGTCACTCTTCATTTGCGATTCCATTGTCATTTCTCACTGCAGTTCGAAGCACATATTAGAATAATGAAATGCAAATTTGATTATAATTGGCAGCAATCAGTTGTAATTTGCTTAGAGTTGACATTAACGGATGGCGGAATAACGGCAGCTCCCTCACACTTATTTAATATTATTCGCATGTAATCGTAATCGTTACCGAGAATCCCGATATACGGATATAATACATATATATATATATATATACACGTGTCCCGATAGGAGATACGTAAATAAGTCAAACAAATGCGATTTAAAATAACGAGCTTATTATATAAGTCATTAATTTTCCACGCGCAAATAAAAATGCCATTTATACTCAGGACGATAAAGGCGTGACGGAAAACCTATAACGACGTTCCTCTCATGCCTTGTCTTACAGCGTTAATGATATTATTACCAATGCAAGGAATTATCACGCGACGTTTGTGCGTTTACGGCGTGCATGCTGTTAATGTGCGCGCAATTACATTATGAATTAGATGCGTTGCACGAAGAAGATGCCTCGCCGACGTCGTGTGTTGGTGCGTTTACGCGTTGCGCAACATCCCTCTCATTCCGAGAGACCGGGAATAAATACGCTCGCGTATTTATTTGTGTACGTCCACTTGTCCGAGCTGTTCATTCAGGTGCATCGCGCGAAATGATATTTTCCGTGGTAGGAATCCGCGAATCATTGTCAAGGGCGAATCATTGACTCAGCTATATACAAAGGCGATTGTTCTCGTTCTCATATTACAATGCGACGGCTTCAATCGCCGCGTATGATCTCTGTCCGTCTCGCGTTAGCGCGATTGCAAGTTCAGGTTGACTTTATGAATTAACCGCCTATTCTTCCGTTCCTGTCTGAAATTTATCATTGAATTCAAAGTACGAGCTTTTCCTCGTAAAGGTGTGTAACGGTGATTCTGTTATCGGTCTTATGTGTATAAAATATAATATGTAAATATACCCGATAGATTTTCATCTCCTAATCATAGGCCAGTCCGCTCTTATTTCAAAACCATCTTAGGCAATGTCTTAAGATGCTAATACGATTATGAGAAAGTCGCATTAGCGTTTGGAGGTATTACTTAAAATCAGGGTTGGGTAGAACTAGTTGAAACGTTAAAAGTTAAAAAGTTAATAACTTTTAACTTAACTTAGTTAATTTTAAATGCATTAAATTTTATAACTTAACTAAGCTACTTTTAAACGTTAACTTTTTAACTTTTTTTTAAGTTAAAAAATTTTTTTGTCTCTTTTAAATATCTTAGAAAAATAATAAGATATAATAAGACTAAGGCCGGAATCCATAGTCTAAATCTCAAGGAATGTCTTAAGATGCTAATACGGCTCTCTGATTGGTTCATGCACTAGTTTAATACCATCTCGAATCTATGAGTAATGGATTCCGTCCTAAGAGCGTATATTCTGTTCATATTTTAAGACCATCTTAAGTAATTTCTTAAGATGCTAATACAGTCCTCTAATTGGCTTATGCGGTTATGCCTTATGTCATAAACCTTAGTCCGGATCTATAATAAGTGTTTTAAGCCTTAAGTCATAAGAAATTGACTAATTACAATCAAATATTCTTCTCGTATTCGACTTTAATTGATCAATTTCTTATGGCTTAAGACTTATTAAAAAGTAAACCTAATAATCTATATTGTAGTTATTTAATCTCATTTTAAGAAAAATTAGTACATTTTGATTTAAAAAATAATTTCTTTCAACGTGAGTTAATTCAATATTGACTTAACTTACATTAAGTTAATTTTTTATTCCTTCAACTTTTAACTTAATTTTATTAATTTTGTAAAGCCATTAACTTTAACTTTATTCAGTTAAAAAAAAACATTAACTTACCCAACCCTGCTTAAAATAGTCTTAAAATAAGAACCGACTATGAATATCGGCCAGAGAGTCGTAATACTTATGGTTTTATAATAAGAACGGATACGGGCAATATTTGTTCTCTCTCTCTCTCTCTCTCTCTCTCTCTCTCTGATTGTGTCATGATATCTTAAGACTGTACTTAAGATGGTCTTGATCTAAAATTCGACTACAAATACACCTTCATAATTGATTTATGATTTAAGACTTGTGCTTGAGACAACCGATTATATGAATACCAGCTTCAATCTCATGATTGATGATCTTACAGACTTTGTGATTTTCTGTTCTCAGTTGCGGATTTGCGGTCCTCTTTCTGTTTTTATTTCTTTTTTTTTTTTTGTGTAAGAGATGTAACTTGTACAAGGCCACGGTCGTGCTCGGGATGCGTTAATTTGCAGCGCATGCATCTTCCTCGAGCTTCGGATCTCGATCCGAAAATGTGAAAGCCGAAATTTCCCGTAGCGCGCGCAGATTTCTACGCTGCGCGACGCGCGGGTTTCATCGCGCTAGCCGTAGGCGACGTTACATTACGCGCAGCCGAAACGTCCTTGGTCATTGTGACATTTGGTTTTCTCGAAGTTGTACGCGCGCCGGAGGAAAGTTGGTGACGTAACTCTACCGGTGACCTTGCCATTTCAGAAGATGCGACGGCGAAACGCTCGAGGAGGATGCCTCCGGCCACCGCGTCTCCTCTCGCGTTGATATTCCTTTTCTTTCTCGCGCCTTCCTCCTTCTTATTTCCTTTCCCCTTTCTCTCTTCAGCGAGACATTTTTCTGCTTCTTTGTATACAGCATCTAATCTTTAGATTTTTGGACCGATTGCCAATATCGTCATTCTTGATGTCAGAAGTATTTTTTACGTACTTTATGCCAAAACAATTAATTCCTTTTGCTACGGATATATTATTTTATTGTTATACAGATAGATTCTCGAGTGTTTCTCGTTAAGGTAGTTCTTCACAAAAATGAATTACTGCAGAAAAAAATAAGAAAAATATATGAGGTTCTCTGGATCTCGAACTATATGCTACAATTTTTTTAAACCCCGATTGCCGAACTCATTTTTGAGAAAAAATTCGTTGAAATTGGCTTCTTATACACGGAGACATAGGGTATCGTACAGTTCCGAGCACTATTATTTACAAATTAGTATAGTAAAAAACTGCAGTTGATAATGAAAAAGTAATAGATGAAAGTTAAAGATTCGTACTTTTTAACGGTCAAAATAAAAGTGGAGGTAGCCGAACAAATTTTCGAGATATTTATTGTAGAAACAGCAAAAATGTACATTTCATAACCTCTTTCATGTCACTACGTGGTTCATCGCTACGTATAAACAATATTAATATTATTAAAACTTTATTATTTCAATGCAAATATTATCAACAAAGACCTTAATAAATATATTTAATGAACGCCATATATACAATTCGATTGAGAATTCGCAATTTTTATTCTCAGCATTCAGTTGACTAGGGAGTCCGTGAAGAACTACCTTAAAGTGGGCCCGCGAAAAAATATATATAGAGATTTAATATATAATTAAATATAAATTTTATTAAAATTTAATATAATATACTAAATAAGATCTTAATAACGATTTTAATAAATTTGGTTTTATTAAAACCTTACAGAGATTTAATTTGGATCATATAATGACCATATTTAAACTTATTAATTCAACTTATCTATTACTTATATTA